AGCCTGGATCTCATAGACTGAGACCTTAATTGTGGTCATCTAAGGAAAACAGGCCAGCAGCATCGAAATCGCTGTTCATGGTTAGTTTTCCGCACTCACTCCGACGTGTGCAAAATCTGATTTAAGTAGTCGAGTTAGGTCTGATTACTGGACGCAGGCAGCTGTATCTCCTGTAGTTTTAATCTTTTCTTTTGATGGTTTAACCCTTCCGATCTGAAGTTAGACCTCATAAAAGTGAGATGCGAGGTCAGGACCTTTGACTGTTCGATCACGTCTTTGGTGCTATTTCCAGTATCTGCATACGCCAAAATGCAAGTCAGCACGTGGGCGATGAGTTCGGAATGCTCCCGAGCATTAAAATACAAACGTTACTGAAATATAGACTGTAACATTGTAACTGTAATGAATTATCAGCGCTGGGGATCAAGACGTCATCGTTCAGGTGGCGTTATGACGCGTATACTGGCACGCCTTCCCCTTAAAAGCCTCCACTGATGTGGATATAACGATATTTGCGGACAGAACATTCCAATTTTGCACCACTCTGTTGGGGAAGGACTTGCACGTGACCATCCTAGCGCGTTACACGTACTTTGATAGGATGATCTTGCAGGTTCGTTATGCATGTTACTCCAAGGCAACCTCTGGGCACAAGACAGTAGTCCTGACGGTACATGATGCGGACTTTTTGTATCAGGTCGCCTTTAGCTGTCAATAACTCAAAAGAGAAGGGTTCAGTTTAGATAACCGTGTTTCGTAGCGTAGTGAGTCCTGTCCCCTGACGAGTTCGGTTGCACGTTTTTGAAATTTGCCGAAGATGATAGTGTCTTTAGTGGTCCAGGGTTTTCACGGTTAAATAGAAAACTCCAACTTGGCCGTAAAAACGACCTGAAGGCTGTAGCGAAGTAGTCCTCATTGAAGGTTGTGACATCCCGCTTGATGAGGTACAGGTCTAACATCGCGGATTTGACCACCTGTGATCAGTGCAGCGAATGTTTAAGTGAAGGCTTGATCCATCCACTCCGGTTTCTATGGACACTTACTTCCTGTAATGGTATGCAATTTTGATGACCGATTTCAGGAAGGGTACCTCTTCCTGTGTCTTGACCCTAATCTTAAAAGTGGCCGTTACTCAAAGGCTAACCTGTGAACTTCATTAGGAATAGCATACTTTTATTATTTCCAGTCATGCTAAGCTACGCATTTGGGTTTCCGACGGGAATCTTTGCGCAAAACCAGATGTCTACCGATTGTCAGGCGTTAAAACCTGGATACGTCTGGCGAATTTCTGTCTACGTAGAACTTTGCGTACAGATTGCCGCTGCGACGAAAGCTGGAGTGTAACCTGTGACTTCCGATCTGAATCCGAAACAGCATACGGACAAGGTCTTGTTCCGATGATAACATCTTCTTCTAAACCATCCACTAGGACTTGTTTTTCCAGATTGTATTGGCGATGATTTTAGACGCTTGGGCTTTCCCGGAGTCCTGTCCGCCTTCTATCATCCTGAGTTGGTGATTCATGCCACAGTCTCTACCACGTCGCCGGCTGATGCGTTTTACTGCGCAGGAAAAAGGACTGCCTATTGTTCACCAGCGTCCATGGCTGTCATCACCGCATCTTGCCTGACTTTCCTTATCTTTGGCAAGTAAAAACACAAACTTGTCAAAGGGGAAGGCGCGTGACACTCGCTTACTGTGATAAGAATCCCGCTCGATCCCATTCTGTCCACCCGCTACCTGGACTGATGCCGATAGCGAACGTTGTACCAGAGGACACGTGTCACATATAGTATTTAGTAAGCTCGTTAATGTACTTACAATACCCCAGCTGGCGGGTGGGCAGAATAGGCGAAAGCAAGATTCCAACCACAACGACTGACTGTCATGCGCCTATTCCTTCGATAAGTTTATATGCCTCACTTTGGAAGGTACAATACGGCGTACTGACAATCGGTGGTGACTTTGAAACAGTCGTCTGCGTCTAGCGTATAAGCACCTTAACGAACTTGTTGAACACATGAAGTCGCTCAGGCCTCGGGTAGGTCTGAGTGGTAGTTAAGTAATCACAGAAAATCAACCAAAGTCTGTTGCTGAGAGCAATAGGCGTCTATGCCCAATAAAGAACGAACGTTCGTGTTCTACAAATCAAATCACGCTACCCCCACCCCCCAATTAGAACCTTTCTTTATTCTGGTTATAGCCTGACTATAGGGGGTCAAGAATATTTTTCGAAACAACCGATATATGATAGACATACACTGAATGCTGCATGCGCCCTTTCTCTTCTGCTGCATGAAGGTTTTTAGCGTTATTACCCTCATGGGCTGCAAAAAGCGCCCTCTCTCTGGAGGGCGTACACAAAGGGTAACCGTGCTTGTGAGGGGTGGGCGATAGCACACATTAAAGAGTGTCCAGTCTTCGCCTTCGAGGTTCTAGAAAATACACTTAAAAATTCATTTTCATCGACTGGCTACAGATTATATCATGTAATTGCACACTGAGAGGCCGTAATAAAAGCTCTATGTTTGTGAGGCTCCAGACTCACCCCTTCGGTGGAACCGAAACATGTGACCCAGTAATTGCTCTCTCTCTCTCCCTTTTTTGGCAACACTATCCCGCAGTCGTCACGACCCAGTGTGCTTCATGTGTATATTCCACCTGGTGTCGGATGTCACTCGTGGTTGCCAACATATTCGCGAGACTGTCCAATTTTACAGCTACCCTGAAAAGTCCAGTAAATAGGCTCTGAACAACTGTTCCATATTTCAAGACCACCCCGCAGTCCAGTTTGTCGCAGGAGCGCCCTGAGTCTTTGAAAACGCCCACACTCTCCGTCTCCCTGTCTGTGTGAAAATGCCCCAAAATAATTATAGAGCGCAGTCATAATTAACGAGGGTAGTCGGCATGCGCTCCCTCACAAAAATAACCTTTTGATCGCATGAAATATGTGAAACTTGAACAGTCCATGCGCAAGTACGAGCAGTGCACAACCTCCATAGACATCTAGAATTAGCATTTTTCTAATCTAAAGGCCATTTAAGGAAGTGGGTTTGTGAACAACCTCTTTGCAAATCTCTGTACTAGATGCTTTTTGGTCATCGCCTCACAAGTGGAGTTTTCCTATTTAGTCGGAAAGGCTTTCTTTGTCACAATTAACCTTGAAGTAACCGCAGTGATTTGAAGCACTTCGCACAGCTCATGCGTTCAGAATTTGAGCATCTTTAGCCCGGCCTATGAGTTACCGACGAATTCATACAGCCAAAAAACCTCTACAGTTGTACAGAGTTGAACCGCGGGTATTGATTTTCTGGGTCACTAAAGTAACGTTCGCCAGATGTGCCACCTCATCGATGCTTCCATCATTCTTCTTGGGTGTTTTGTTGCGTACTTTACGGTAGATGTGCTTTTTCACTAAATGTTGGCCAAAATTTTAAAATACATTTTTATTTCGAAAAGGTCACGTTAGTAGGGTGATTATACTAATTCTCGTGCAGCAAAATACCAAAATATTCCAGTACCCTCAGGATGCCGGTCTTCAAACGAGCTTCTTGTATACCGTCTGTGTGAATTGCATCCCGTAAAAATGACTACTTAGATAGTATGGGTTTTTCCAATTGCTTTGTGATGCATTTACAGACTTAAATATATTTTATAGAAAAAAAGGACTACAACACATATTCTGTTATTTATTTGGCAGAAAATTACGTCTTCTTGAAATTTTACCCCTTCAAGTTCAAAAAAGTTTCTAACTGTGGGGTTTTTCATACCGTGAAATGGCCAACCGTACAGCATAGTATCAGCACATTTTTAATGCTGCTTATAAAATTTGAAACGTGATTCACATCCACTGTAATATTTTATGAGTCCTGTATGTCTTCTTCATCAAAACATATAGAAACATGATTTACCCTGCACGAAAAGTATACAGCTTGTAGTTTAATAACCCTGAATGCAAGCATAACGGCGGGTCAGGTTCCAAATTATTCGGCAAATGGGAAAGTTTTTAAGCTATGAGACATATTTTCTTCAAGTATAAAATTCAAAGAAGACGTAACGTGCTACCAAATGAGTAAAAAAACGAGTACTTTCATACATGTTTTCTATAAAATATATTCGAGTTTATAAGAGTATCAGAAATCAATGGTAGAAATTCACGCTAAATAAGTAGTCATTTTCTACGGAATATATTAAGCGCAAGCGGTCGATAAGAAGCTCATTCAAAAGCCGGCATCCTGACGTGACTGGACTAGTCTGAAACTCAGTCCTACTTTAGTTCTTCTCTGGAACTGAAAGCACATTTTAGAATTTCAGCCAACACTTCACGAGATAACATATCAGCTGTACAATAACTGCCTTTATGGAACCTTTGATTGTGGATCGATATTACGTAAGTGTGTATGTTATTTGTCTTTCGGCATATTTGTCCCTTCCGATACCACTATCTATGGCTATGCTACGTTATTATAAGTTTCGAGTAAATAAAATTTTTATTGCCGCAAATTCACATTTCTCCAATGTCATCCATCCAACTGACATGCACCCGATGGGAAATCATTTCCGCATGAAACCACTACCGGCTACAACGAAGCACGCTGTTTTTTCTTTCCCGCACCATTTCTGCCTGCCTGATGCTTAATTACCGGAAAATGTATCAACCTTTACGAGAAAATTCAAGCTGTTAAGTCGTCGATGCAGGAAATTACTCTTCCTGAAACTTTCTCGGCAACAACAAGACTATTCGTTCATAATGTTCCCAAAGCCTGACAAGCTGTACAGCTAAAATGCCCATGTCACTAGACAAAAAATTCTCGACAGTATATGGCCCTGATGAAGATCTATGAAATACACTGCTGTCTGTGAAACGCAACTGCCGTAGCCCAGATTATTGACCACTTGTCTAGGACGGGGTAGGCGTCCTTGTTGTCCTTGGAACGCCGGCGGTTGAGAAAGCACACGGAGTGTCTGAGATATTCCAGTCAATAAAAATGCACCAGGAGTTAACAGCTCGGCGCGTAGAGGTACTCCCTCAGGTAGGTGCTGAAGTAGGCGTTGACGAAGCCTCTCATGCCCTCAGCATTGAGTAGCTCCAGGCTGGAGTTTGGAGTGGTGTTGATCCGCTGGATGCTGTCGATGGCGATTGCATAGACATAGGGTGCTGAAATGGGCATCTGCCGTGCTTCTGACAGACAGCAGCCCTGCAGCTCTCCAGTTATGTGTCCAGCCAGCGTCTCAAGAGACACCTCCTCCCTGTGTTCCACGGTTATAGAGAGCGCTCCCAGTACTAGTGGTCGCTGGGAAAAAGAAGGGCGGGGCGTGCCAATTGAAATACAGGGAAAAGAGGAAAAAAAATATCCACTGTCCCCCCTCCTCTGAGAAGTAAAGGGACGATCACTGCAGTAAAGGGTTGGAGTAGTTTGAGGCAAACAGAGTTTACGACACCTATTATGATTGTGCTTAGAGGAGATGTTTTTTTGCAAAAAATCGCATCGAAGGCAACCAAGATGGTGGTGTTTGTCTCTTTGTCGTCACAAACTACCTATCTTAGAGCCCCTGACTGAGGAGCACCAGGCCTTGCACTCGTGTTTACAGAACAAAATACTTTATGGGCGGATTTGTATGATCAATATTCGTAACTGCCTGTTAAGCAGTCAGAGGACGGCGTGTACCCTATAGCAGGGTGGGCACAGGGATGATATCTTGTTGCCTGAATTGGATTACAGTGATAGTAGTCTGGCGCAGCATCAAACACATCGTCGGAATCGACCAAATCGTCGGTCGGTCAGCAGGCAACTCTCAATCAAAAAAAGATTTGTAAAAAAACTAGACCTCAGACGGACACGTTTGCTTTAGAACCAAGAATACAATTAGCACCGTCCTCATTTATTTCTTCTTCATTTGCAGTGGCCAAGCTTGGCCGGGCTTACGCCTTGATAGTCAGCCCGATTCTCTTTTCTTCCCTCCACAGGAAAAAGAACAGAACAAGGTCAGTAAGCCCCGACTGCTGCAACTAGTACCTGATTCGACGAACGTCCCGAATAAGGTCTTCGGCATATAGCCAGAAGGTTCGAGAGAATCCACACACGCACGAGAGATGGCAATGGCTTGGCTCACGAGTCATGACAGTTCGACCGTCGATTTTGGCGATCTCCAACGTATGCTCCACAGCCGAGTAGGAGTAGGGACAATGACTTGCGCGTGAATTAGTCTATAGCGAGAGAAGACCTTCGTCGAATTTAAAGCACGTTCTCCTTCTCCCCGCCTGGGCTTAGTGTCAAGACATAGTTAAGAAGACCGGAGGTGGGAGAGAGGGCGCAGGCATCTGGCGCGACCGGAGTCGCCCCTGGGCGTGCCAGCAAACCAGCCTCGGATCTCACGGAGTGAGAGCGTCATAAGGCCACACTAAGGAGGAGTCATTGCAGCCTGACTCTCATACCACCAGCCGGTCATTCCATGCAAACACACAGCACTGGGCCGACCGCGAGGCGCAAGTTATCCCGTCAGCTGGCAATCTTCCAAGCCACGGCTTTTAGCACATTGAAAGCCTCAAGCGCATTACATTGTTCATCATGAGGATAGTGTGCCGACCTGCCTATCTCACTCTCTATTCACACTGTCAAACCCCACCCACTGTCCGAGCCGGACAGTTGTCTGGTGCAGGTCCATGGACGCGGTGGCTGAGAGGGCTAGAGGGCTCGTATACACGCGCCACATGCTCAACGGGGCCCCCCAAAACGTACTTGTCGGGATTTCACACACAAGGACGACATAACGCTCGGATCTCACATGCGGCAGAGGAGCTACACTGAAAAAGCAGCCGAAAAGCCCACTTCCCACTTAAGTGAGGGGTGCATGTGATGTGATTCATACATTCCCAAACATCAGTCGATCGGCAGACGCAGCGCTTGCCCCAATATTCAACGTTATTCTTTTTCTTGGGCATAGAACCTAAGGCCTCCGCGTAGAGGGACACACGGTGGAGCACAGCTTACGGCGAGATAACTTAGAAATTATTAATAACGGGGTTCAGATAACCGTAAGTGACGAACTCGGATTTGAACGACAATTTTGGATTAAATGTGATGAATGTGAACGCTACTTATTTTGGTGTGTGTGTGGGACGGCGTAGGAAATATACCACCTGAGGTTCCGACAAGTCCCTCTGTTAATGTCATGAGAGGGGTTCAAACCCCTCTCATGTCGAAACCCCGACTTACAATGTTCCCACCTAAAAAATCGGTTCTCTCAGTGTCCTTGTATTTCTTCTGTCATGTCTCTCATCAGAAAGTCTTTCTGGAGCACTTCGACAACCGAATACATACGGTCAGTGGTTCTGGCCACATAAACGTGCCTGACATGACTTGTCCAATAGTTCAAGAGGATAAAGGGCCAAGTCGCGCATGGGAAAAAAGAGTGACTAACGGATGAAGACGTCTAGTTGGCTGAAGTGAAAAAGTGAATGCTAACAAAATGTCTCGGGGCTTGATTTTTAGGCCCGGTTTTACAGGCGCTGGAAAGATCTGCTTGTGTAGCCACACCTGATGGGCACAATACTGTTGACCTACTTAATTATTTTGCGTTGGTGTTATTACGTTGGCATGGGGTTGCTGTGCGTTGCGACGTGTGTTCTGTCGACTGCCTTGTTTCTTTGTTGCCGTGTCTACCTTTTTGTGCCCCAAGGCCGGTGGTCCTTCTTGACTTTCGGCCTGTCGTCTCCTTCTAACTTTCGCGTTGGATGTTTCAGAGTTTGGGTTTAGGGCTGCGGTTACAGGTTAGGGTTAGGGGTACGACCGCGCGTTCCCAATTACTTTTCCTTTGCATACAATTACTTGACCTCGTCGCCTGTGCGTTTCCCGGCCCCACCTACAAAAGCCGCTATTACCACCGGTCCCGTATTACAGGTGGCTGGGGTATGTTTACCTCAGGTTCGGCTACAAAACCACATATGACTCATACGCTGTTTTGCATTGTCAAGTGTATTTTTGCCCCGCTTCGACCATGTATGTTAAGGATTTGCCAGAACCAGTTAAATGTATGCAACCTGTCCGCGATGGCCTGAGACCCTATGGAGCCCCACGTTCAAAATATCAAAGTCTCCGGGGTTATAATCTTCCCATGTGGTGGGCTTAGAACTTATGAGTGTGGTTTGCCCCACCAACTGCTTTGTTTTTAGTTGAATTCGCTGCCGCAACAAGCATTCATTTGATCTCTTTGACTGGATAAAGCAAAACCTCATTCTGGCTGGTGAAAATGTAGACAGTGAGGGAAACGTTCCCAAAACGGGCCTAGCTGAAGGTGCCATTGCAGTCCCCCTTTTGTCAGACTTACCTTCTGGTAAAGACTGACATTGAGGTGTTCGCAGGTGAAGGGGCAGAGTAACTTTACATTGCGTTGAGATTGGCAGTTTGGATTGCCCACGACCACCGTCTTGCAACGCCGAACATGAACTCCTTTAACTTGCCCGAGTTGTAGGAGTAGATTGCCGGTGGGAGACACGTCAATTTTATTGTCGATCTCCAGAAGCGTGGATACTAGAGTAATGAAGCCCCTCCAGGTCATTCGGCTCACCTCGAGTTTAGCGACAGCTATGAGTCGCAGAGGGTGGAAAAGGCAAAAAAACACTATGTGACGTTTACGTTTCAGGAGGGAGGGGCGTTGTCAATTAACAGGCAAATGTCATAGGCTAATTGTGTTCTTGGGAGAATCGTAGATGAGCCATGTACTCATAGGTTTAGGTAAAAACAAGAAACCCTTAACTGTTAGGTCATTGTGCATTTTTGGCTTAAATCCAAACACGCCTTAAAAATGCAGTTTCATCAGGCAAGGAGATAATCAGTAGGCTACCAGGTTCTTAACAAATCGCTTAGTCAGTGTCTGCAGACACCTTGCGATGGTAGAATGAGTGCAGATCTAAATTGGGCAGTCGAGACATTGTTTACTCGGAATAGATGCGACGGATTGCGCAGAATTCAATGACGTCACAAGATCATAAGACCCCTGTAACAACTGCTCGTGACAATTGATGTTAACTAGATCAGCCGTTTGGTATGAAAGCCGCCTACCGCGATCAAACGTGATAGACAAATAGAAATAGGAAATGTTGATCTGAAATGCGAGTGGGCACGTCGCGCGCGAGTGAGGGAGGGAGAGAAGTTACGTAGGTGGGCGTGTTTGGATTATAATGAAACCTCGTCAGCCATGATTACGTCTGCATAACATGAGACACCCAGTCAGGACTGGTTACAGCTGCACGGCACGGAACTTTAGTCAGTGATGTGGGCGAGGAAGGGAGGGAAAGAGGGAAGGGACGGGAAAGGGAATGGGACTATTTCTGTCGTCAACCCTTCCCACGGCAACGCGAGGGGATCATGTGATCCAACTGTTTACATATTCCTGTCTTTCTCCTCCGCATTGCAGCAGCTTCTGAATAGCGTAGGAGAAACCCAGTCGTCATGCGCAGTAGAAGTCTAAATGCAGCCGTTCAATCTGCCACATGATCGGTATCCACCGTTTGTTTTGGAAGTGAACTCCTGTGCTGCCTTACTTTCTGCTCCCAGCAGACACTTCGGTATGTTCAACATTCCGAATCACTGAGGGCCTTTGCCTGCGCCCGATGTACTCGCATTCGCAAATACATGTAGAATCATCAGCATAGTTTGATGTGGCGTGCACAGATATGGTATCTTTGATTATTTTAACTCAAATAGGCGTTTTGGAGCTGACTAGTATGCAGTTTTCGGAGCAGTTAAACAAGAGGTCGCAAAATTCTGTGGCGCCATTAAACTCTGCCTATTTTGTCGCCTTTTACCCTGTTCAAATTGAAAAGCGTTTTTTTGACAAAGACAGAGCTGTTGGAATGGTCATTTCTGGCCCATTTAATGTCATCATCCCATGTTACCCTGGGCTGGACATCCAAGACCCGAAGTCCTTGATAACTGTTCATCAAACAGCGTTGTCCACTAAACTGACAGGCGCACTTCATATAGGTTGACATCTGGAGTGTTTAGTCCCAGCCAGGAGTGGCGGGCGCCAATTTAACCTGATCACAGGACTGAAGCGAGCACTCCCATTTTTCCTTCATTTTGACCTAACCGCGAAAAACTCGGTTCCTCGATGGGATTCGAACCCACGTCAGCAAGAGGAAGGCTTCAGTACAGCCAACGCTCTAGCCACCTGAGCTACGAGGCCTCCAACGTTTTCTTGGAGGTTGCATGACGAGTAGTAAGCTAAAATTAGATATGCCTATTCCTGCCTCACTATCGGGATAGGCCGGTGTACACCGCTCTCAGATGGCGACTTTCAGAGTTTGAAGGTGTCTTTTCTAGCATTACCAACAAGGACAAGAGAGACTGGGATGGTCATTTCTGGTTTATTATTCGTCGTCAACCATCCACTTCCACTTCCTGTTAGTTTGAAGCCCAACGTCCTAACCGCTGAGCCAGGGGCCCGCCGTCCTGCCAGCTTCAATCGGCTATGTACAATGGTAAGAGGGACACTCACCGATCGCGTTAGGAGACTCACTCGTCTCTTCGTGCGAAAGGACCCACTCTCGAGTTCCGCCAGCAGTCGCACAGCGGAACGCTATATATCTCTTCTGGAAGATACTTGTCACGATAAGAAGAGTTCTTTGATCAAGAAAGCATTCCATATCGATGAGGAAATTGGTGTACTACACTGCATCGTGCTCTTAAACTGTCCCCACTGTACAAGAATCATATGAAAGGGAAGCTAGGATCACGCGCAGGTGAATGGAAACTGGCTATGCGCAGGAGATTCGAGTATCCCCAGTCTCTGCCCCCATCTTTTATGCGTGCGCAAGTATAGTTCTACACCCGTTAGTTGTTCCTCCTCTACAAGCGGACGTCAGAGTTCCAGTAAGCAGTTGCGTCCCTTAAACACTCATCTACAGCTGTATTTAGTATTATTTTCAAGTCCTAGCGACCGCAGGCCCCTCTGCTCAATTTTTTTCTCCAGTTGTCGCTTGTTTTGCGATTTTGTTTCTGCGCAAGTTTAAAAATTCAACAAGCGGTTCTGAATAGGGATCAGTCTCCAGAGTTAAATTCCCTTTTTGCAGTTCAAGTAAACAAGATTTTCTAGAGAAACAGAAAGTACTAATCATACGTCACTACTTGCACAACCCACGTTCAGAGCGAGCGAGAGTTTATGCGAAAAACTAAGAACTTCAAGGAGCTATCAGTGATGCTACGTTGCTGAAAGAGGGGGTGAACACGATGATATCTAACTGCCGAACACTCACATCGAGGGCCTTGCCATTAATTCTTCGATTTGACGCTCTGTCCGTGACGATCGGGAATATTAGAAGTAACATTTGATCGATTTGACTGAGTCCCAAAAAACGAAGAACAAACATATTCACCCATGTCATCTGATAAGTGGAGTTTAACTTATGAAGTGAAGCGTGATAAAAATATCATATAAATGTGCCCTAGGGCAGATTAAGACGGCATCAAACAGAGGATTGTTTGTATTCGACCGGGAATTTACACGCAAAATCAGGAATTCTAAGGAGCTATCATTGATGCTGCCATCTAAGCGTCGCCTGCAGGGATTCTATCATTCGTGGGCTAACAATGCTGTAATTCCTGGCGAGGAGAACACGAGGTTCTTTAACTGTCGAACGTTCATTTTGAGGGCTTTGCCACTAAATTACAGATTCGCCGCTCTCCCCGTGAGGATCGGGGATACTTTAAGTAACATCTGATCGATCTGACTGATCCCCAAAAACGAGGAACAAAGATATTCATCCGCGTACTTTGATAGGTGGAGCACAACTTATGAAATGACGCACGCTAAAAGAATATCATGAGAGGGTGGACACAGGGCAGAATATGCACGTTAAGGGCAAACAAACTAGTCGCCAATATAAAAATTTGTAGACCTTTCAGTGATTTTTACCGTGTCCCTTCCCCCTCCCCCACATTTCCACACTTGGCCTGTGTTTTACGGCGAAATTTAATCGATTTATCTTATTACTGACGTGTTTTTACTTCTAGCCCGTTTCCATATAATTGTACTGGCCCGGTGCGAATTTATCGAAAGCTAAGTATGCTCGCCTCCTCGTCCTCTGATTACCGCTATGAGAATTTTCGCAATTATAAAACCGTCCAAGGATTACAATATGTTTGGGCTACAAAATTTCAGGCTTATTCTAAACTACTATGCATTTGCGCAAGCGCCCGCAGTATTTTATTAGATGCGATCGCTGGAACAAGGAGTTTGTTAGCCTGGCAGTCAGGATTATCACTTGAATCCATCATTAAAGACAGTCACAGAAAGGGGATTCGAGTGAGAATCCGAAACGTCATGCCACTCAAATCCCTGTTCCGGTGGTCGCGTATTCTATTTCATCTGAACTACTTCCTAGAACTCGCCTGTTCGCATTAATCATCAGTATTTGGTAAATTTGTTTTAACATCGGTCACTTTTCTCGAGGAAAATATATTTCGCGCACCTTCACGATTAGATGCTAGCATTGTCTATTGGAATGAACAGTTTACCAACGGGGGTTTCACAGCGGGCGATATTGTAGCCATGGATCACATTTTACTCTGGTATTTCCGTTAGCTTGCGCCTGTTTTATAGACCTGGTTCCACGCTGCTTTGACCTTCTGTCTATCGTGTTTATTGCGAACTTTTTGTAGAAATGCCTCTGACCGCAGATGGGGCCAGTGACCTTTTACAGAAGTGGATATCATGGCATTTTACGGAGCTTCCCCGGGGAGAGGGGACGGCAGATATCCGCGTCTGTCCGCGGGTGGGCCTCCCTGAATGCATGATGGAATTCCAGCCTCGCCAGTTGTACGCAACCACGCTCAAACGTTGTTAGAGTTCTTAAACCCATTTCCAAATAAGGACGTTTCCTCATTCAGCATGCTTTATTGAGTCCGTATCGTTTGCCGTTTTATTTAAAAGGAATGGTTTCATTTTTTCCCCTCCGCTTACGCTCATGTCTAAACTCCTAGCGTCTCGTTTCCCATCTGGTATTCAATATTTTGATTCAGACAATTAGACTGCGCTACACCAAGAACGTCCTAGGATAATTAAACCAAAGCCAGTTTATGATTATGTCCTGAAAACTGGACCTTTCGTCGTAAAAGGATTGCTTTAAATGGAATCAGACTTCCTATACTCTGGACAAGCGGAAGATTCCCGATTATGTGTTGATGACTTCTGTCTCACGTTTTTTACGTTCGCGGCGGACGTGTCCAAACGGTTGATAGGTTTTATCAACACAGGTTTTCCTTAATAAAAACCATTCTCGCCTTATTGTACGGCAAATGAGATGTCATAAAAACGTGTTTGATGAATATTTTTACTTGAAGGTCTCATGCGCTGTCATCAGAGACTGGTTGGATCTGAGGCAGTATGAGCAAAAGGTCTGTTATGTAAGCCTGCGATAGATAAGAAAGTCGACAGTGGGACGTGGAGAAGATACCGCCGGTTCAACGTACTTACAAACTACGAAACGGTCGGCGACAGGGCTGATAACTTATGCTAAAGGCAGGTATCATGGCAAATTTTCAAATCATAATAGTAGTAGTAGTGGTAATAGTAGTAGTAGTAGTAGTATTGGTGGTAGAAGTAGTAGTAGTATTAGTAGTACAGTGAGTGACCGATCTCATGAAACGTTGGTTGAAATTCTGAAATGCGTTTTCGATTAAGAAGGATTAATTTATCGCAGTTGTAATGCTGTTTATTTTACGGCATAATCTTTTAACATTTCGGACTCGGCAGGATGTCAGCTTTTGAATATACTGCTGCTCAATATCCTGTAGAAATCGTACTCGGTAAAAATGACTACTTAAGCAGCATGCATTTTTCCCACTGATTTTCGATGATCTTGCAAATTCAAATATATCTTATAGAAACCATACACAAAAATATGCTTTCGGTCAATAAGTAGAGAATTAGGTCTTTTTTATATTTTATACTCAAAGAAGGAGCATAAATAAAAAGTTTTCTAATTGTCGAATAATTTGGAGCCTGATCATTCGCTGCATTAGCGCTTAGTGATTACAGTCTACATGGTGCATGCGTTCGCGTAAAGTAAATCACTTATTTTTCTATGCCCTTGAGAAGACATCATGCAGAGTCCATAAAATTTTGCAATGGATGCGGACTATGTTGTACATTTAATGAGGAGATGTGTAAACGGCCAGGTACGATATTACGTGAAAGGACATTGCGCGGTCTTAAAAGGTCCAAAATGTTATAAGATTATGCTGCAAGATAATCAGTATTACAACTGCGACCAATTAATCCTTCCTAATTGAAAACGCATTTCAGAATTTCATCCAACGTTTCATGAGATCGGTTACTCACTCTAGTAGTAGTAGTAGTAGCGATAATTACGCATAATTATGAGAATTAGTGGAGGAAGGAGTGCAAAAAACGATTTCTCTTTCGATTCCTTTAACGCCATTGAGCTAAACTAGCAGAAGTATGGAGCATGTAGAGCCGAAAAATACGTCATCTAAGTTAGGCCTTTTTGAGGTCACTGGACGCGATATCCTGTTCTTGGTTATACTGCGACAAATTTAGAATCCATAAACGCCACCGACAAAACAATGGAAACTTAAACAGCCGTTTCTGCCCTGTACGTTATCATCAGCCGGCCACAGCCTTGGCTGGTAGAGGGGCAGTTCTGAGCTAAAAACTCCGTCACCTCAGATATGAGACGATATCTGACGGGTTGACGGAAAAACTTTGGGGTTGCCCTGGAGGGTGGCATAATGACCCATCCTTTCCTTTTCGATCTCTTTTTATACAAAAGGACTTCAGCATATTTGAGAACAAGTAACAATACTTGTGTCAACTGTTCAATCCAGCAGTCAAATTTTGATCCTTGGCCGGTCTTATAAACTTATAGAACTGCTGAATACCTTGGACATTCTTGTGAACTATCTGTCTTCGGCATGAGAAGCGCCCAAGGAAATCAGTCTGAAGATTTACGGTTTTTGTGGCTTGGCAAAATCGGATGGAATTAAAACTTCGCAAATGAAATTCAAGTAGGTTTTGCCTCCAGTTTCCCGCAAAGTCCGCCGTTCTGTGACTATTACCTAGGCCATCTTACTATTCGTTTATTTCATCGCGGTTCTAGTTTGCAGTCCCTAAGTCGTTAAAATCTTCACCACAATCCATATTGGCCGATGGTAGATTCACTAAAGCATGACTGCACCATCGACCAAGAGACGCAGCATAAAACATCGAAAAAATGGTTCTCACTCGTGCATTGTCAAGGGCACTGACTCTAATTTGAGTATCTAAATTTAGTCGTGGTAATTTTAGTAGCGGAAGCATGATCTCTGTTTGAGTGCAAAATTTCCTATCATGTCTCAACATTGATTAAAGATCCGACGTCGAGGGTATGGTTTGTGACCGGGGTTTTTTATTCCGGAGAACAATTGTGCTAAAAGAAAATAACTGGTGATGTTTATTCATACGTGCCATAACAAGTAATAAAAAGACCTCGCGGTGACTGCCGCGAGTAGGTGATCAAGATTCTTTAAGGTATTCATCGGAACAAAAATAGGACAATTCAACACTCTTTTGACAGTGCTTGCAAAGAGACATTAAATTCACTTACTATTGCCATTAAGTGGTCAAAATAGTGTCTCCTTTTAACTGGTGACAATATGGGGGACCAGACGTGTGATACCACAAAGTTCTTGGATGTTTACCTCTGTTGCTCAACAAAAATGTTCCCCGGAATAAGTAATCCCAGCCATAAACCATAACGATCGCAAACAGTGACAATTGTTTAAAGTGGCTAAATATTTCAAGCCGTCGGTAAAGTATTAAGTTTTCAAAACTGCAGTCTACAAGTCTTGCGCATGCTATATTTCAACGAGGAGTTAAAATGAAGAAACTTACTGGAGTATCGAAAAATTTCCACTTAGGAGGTATTTTACAATCTGTCGTCATGCGATATAACATTAAAATAATTAAGTCACGTCAGGATGTCGTCTTTTGAATGCACGTCTTTCCATCTACTTGTATAATTGGGGTCGCTAAAAATACCCACTTAACTAGTATGGATTTTTCTCCCTGCTTTTTGATGCCGTTATAAATCGGGGCTTATTTTATAGAAAAAGTGCACAGAAATATGCCTTTTGGATATATTTTGTGGAAAATTACGCTTTTCAAACTATAATTTCACATTTTTGCCACAAAGTATCTAGAAGCAAGCACAGGTAAATCAGGATTAATATTCTAGTCCTCTATTTTGGATCAGCATTCGCACTGCTTGAATTCGTTCAAGATCATGTTGTGCACTTGTCCATCTTTATGCGTGTTTAATTTGCCTGTTCTATTTGAAGGTGTCATTAGTCATTTTTATCAGTTTTGACCGAGTTAAGTTGACAGACATAATGAAAACTGGATTAAGCTTTTAAAATACGCTTTCATTAATGAAAGATTAGCTCAACGGCGGCTGAAATACAAATTGTCGTGCAACACAATGCCGAAATACTTCATGTGGGAATGTTGCTCGAGTGCACTTCCAGCCATCCAAGAGAATTAAGCTCGTCAGAAACGAACTGCTATTGCAGTGTTTTTCGTTTTATTAAATTTCGGAACCCGCATAGTTTCAACCATAAGTTGTTGAAATGCAACATAAAAGCAGTTTTCGCTACACAACTTTTGTTACAATTCGGATATACGTTAAACACCATAATCGGGGGAACTGCATTTCCCCCTTGTAAAATATTTTTCAAACTGTTGTGGGCGTTTCAGCGCTAGCAGAAATTCTGCAACATCGTTCACTGTTCAGCGCACCCTACAAATGGCTCGTTCAAAGCAACTTAATTTATCGGTCTGCATCTTAATGGCGCAGGAATCTGGTCACTTTGCTAGCCTTAGAAGCGAACTGAATGAATGGCGTACGGCAAACTAATTAATAATTATTTCTGCGCTCCTAAAAGTTTCATAATATCGGGGTTTTTATGACTAAACTGCACCGTTAATCAAAGGAGGATATTTAGAGAAGAACCTGATACCATGCAAAACGAGTAGAAAAAATAGGAATTTTGCTTGGTTTCTAAGGAAGTACATTTGAGGTCATAGAACGCCGTAGATTCAAAGTAATAGACCATCATATAAGTAGTAGATTTTCAGCAGTTATAATTTTTGCAGCCGCCCAGACGACACAGTCAAAAACTAGCATCCTACCTCAGACACAGTGCCCTGATGTTAGGTTACTGCGCAACCAGTGTTGTCACCCGACTCAAGTAACACTTTATAATCAAAAGCAAACTCCAGCCAACGTTTTATGAGCTCCACCATCTGCCATGAATAGTTTAGTTTACATTTTCACGTCTTTGCGACGTTGGAGTTCTGCTCAGCACATCTGGAGTCTGACTTGCCAGACACATTTTTTAACTACATATATGATTTTCTAAAATTAGCCATCACGTAAAAGGGCATTTTGGAGCGTATTCGCTGGCTTTCTCGAGGCGACCCTTAAGGCGATATTTTTAGACGGGAAAATCAGGGTGCTTACTCACATGTGATCATATGGCATAATCGCAAGATTTTTGCCACGCCAGGATGCTGGTTTTTAACGCGTTTCCTTATGACTACCTGCAAAAGTTAATCTCGCTAGAAAGTTTCAACCCAAGTAGTGTGAAATTTCTATGTGTTTTAGATGCTCATATAAAATACATCTTATGAAAAAGTTGCATCAAAATATCCTTTCCTGTAAGACCTTTATAGTGAATTCTGCTTTATCCAACCTGTAGGTTTGAAGGAATTATGTCGTATTGTTTTATAGAATTTGTAACTAGGAGACTTTGGGAGAACGTGTAATGTTCATTTAAATAGCGTCGCACTTGTCCGCCTGTTAATGCCTCTTAGGAAGTATACCACACGGTCCATATCTATCAGGAAATTTCAGGAGCCCTATATAGTACCTTCTTGGTAGCAAAGAGGAAAGTGTAAATTTTCCGTACATGGAGAGATTAAAGCTTGAAGTCAGTCGACAACTGAAAAACGTTTCTTAAAACTGGAAAATATCACCTCATTAAACAAGGGCTGAAGAAAATTAATTAACCACCAAATGGCCGTAAGAAAGGTTGTTTGCATACACCGGTTTCCTTAAAATACTACCGGATTTGTCGTGGCATCGAAAGTGAATTAAAATTTTATATTACTTGATTAGTTATTCCTAGGCAAGTTTATTTATTTAAGCGGCCGTAAAGACACAAATTCAGGGGCCTGCATCCCGATGTGACAAAATTATCTATGAATCACGCTGCACGATAATCAATAGTACAACCTTACCTTTCTCACCGAGATCGTATTTCACAATTATGGTTTATGTTTTATGAGATAAACCCCCTATTGTGTGCAAGCAAACTTTATGGCGCTGCCTTGAACAGGTGCATCATTGTCCCTGCGGTGTAGGTTACTTTCTGCTGATTCGAATGACCCGCGAGTTGTTGTGAGACCCCGAGGGATAGGAGAATATTCCTTTACATTACCTCGGTTAGGCCAGAATTCATCGCTGCAGAACGAGGTCAGTGAAGTCGGGTTCCGAAATATTAAGCGAACATCTAACTGGAAGTTTGAGCCGATACTGTTTAAAATGTAGGCGTGCAAATACTTACTCAACACCCTCACTCATCGATAATAAACAAGAAGTAAATAAGGGCACTCACCTCCACCAGCACGGCTGCTCAAAGCCAACAGAAGTAGGAAGAGAATAAAAATGACTCTTTGCATGATTCTGAGTCTCACTAGTACATCACCTGTTTTCTGCATGGCCTGCATACTCGCGACTGTCCTATATATGTATACTTACATGTGGGTGGGCCAATCCCACCGTCAGATGCACGTACGCACGCACGCGGACATGCCAACCTGTGGGCAGGCTACCGAGACAACCAGTTTGAGTGGTTTAGACTGAAATCGAGGGAAGGGGATGCAGATGGGAGTGGGTGGGCAAACACAAAGACCTGCAATAAATCTACTGAAGCCAGTGAAACCCCCCCCTGGCTCTGCGTACGCCTGTCAGTGGCCTTTCGAAAAGCACGCACACAGAGGTGTGTAGCCAAGTGCTAGGGTTAGACCTCGTTCGGTTGCCCTCAATATTGGAATGAGGCGAAACATCTGCGCCAGTAGCTGCCAGCGCCACTTCGTGAGAACCTTGCCGGGTCACTAATTGTGCGCTCCAAGGTTAAGTATGTAGTGTGTCCGGGGGGGGGGAGTCTCCAAGCGCGCAGTGGCGAACGTGCGCCTGGCATCCGGACAGGAGGCCAACGAAAACTCTGCGGATTGCGATACTTTGGAAATATGGAACCCTTTATCACAGGGCTCGGAAGCTAAAACCAGGAAGGAGGAAAAGATATCCCGTTGCCAGAAAGTTCGCGCGGATTTGGAGGTTTGAATTCGATGTGTGTGGATATTTTCGAAAGAAAATTTGTCACTCGAATTAATCCCATTCATAATTTACCATCCTTCACGAAAGAGACACGACAATTCAGCCCTGATAGTGCGCTTCCTTTAGGAACGAATAATTTAACAGTTTGTGCTTCAATCACTTCTTGATTGTAGAATTGTCTGCTTCGCATGTAGTTATCTGTTATCTGAAAAATGTTGCAATCGGTTGGGGAAATACCGCAAAAATATGGAAAGTTAGATGAGTTTTCCCATTCTAACACACAAATGAGTTTCCCGGTCAACCTCGGAATATTCTTCAGGCGGAACAATTCCCTCGGATAATTAGATCGGGTTGTTCTTATGACAGAAATTTAAACGTTAGTCGAAATTCTTTAATGTGTTTTCGTGTGGATCCTTGGGCAGTTCGACTCGCCGAGATTAGCGCCAGAAAAAAGTGGTTGTTCGAGCGCTCCCTACGTGGCTAACTTCTTTTCCTAGGTACAGTCTCGACAGAAAATGGGAAGAGGGGAGGTCATTACGCTTTTTAATTGACTTAGGGCCGTAAAACCATGAATCGAGCAGGATGCGACTCACGCGGTCGTCACCTCTCCTCTTCTGTCGACAAATGGCGGCAGTATAACACCATACCGAAATCGTGTGATGTCTTTGATATGTATAGTAGACGATCCTTTGACCATGAGCAACTAACTATTCTAGTTTTAATACGCTGTTGATTAGCTCTTTACCACAAGCAAGCAACCAAACATAAAAGGATGTTTGTGTGCCGTGAAATAGGGACCGGACAAAGTGCTAATCTCTGAAGTCTTTTTGCCGGTTGTCGTTTACATAACTCGTTTGGTCGGTTTTCATGATTTTTCCAGTTAACGGAACTGCAAACTAGTGGTTTTGACACTCACTGAAAAACCTCTGAATAGTTATTATCACATAATCTTGCTTTTTTCATTGTTGCCTCACGACTCTTCACCTTCAAAGGCGTATGGTCTTCCTGAAAATAGTTCAGCTTCAAGACACTGATCGCCGGAACATCAGAAGCTAACCCAATTCTGTGCCCACATAAAACCCTCTCCGATTGTCACACCTATCTTAGCTCGGGCCTCTACATCCTCTGACCCAAGTTTAATTTCATAAAGTAAACCTGCTTAAACTCCACCCGATGCAGCCAACATCTTTTTCATAAGCGGCGCATATCTGCGCTTTGTGTGCAAGTAGTCATAGAGGCACGACAAGTCTCGCTAAGATTCAACGAGTCGTCGCATGAGGCGTTTCTCCGCATAATGGTGGGGTTTTAGCACTCCGCTTACGCGATCACCATTTCTGTAGATATGTCATGCAGGCTTACTGTCCGCCTCTCGCTCCCCGTCAATTTGCCGGTGGAGCCGCCCGAGACTTTGTGCCAGTTCATCAAAGCTGCTCCTTCGCTGATTGGCTGAAGGCGGACACAGCTCAGAGGATAGCAGCGAACACCGACACACTGACGCCCGAAGGGATAGCTTGTGGCAACTGCTGGCGTCAGTAACGCCTGTTCAACCTAATCCGTCTTGGCAGAATGGCATTGGCGACAAAGTCAGGGGAGACTGGAATGGCCATTTCTGGCTTATTAGTCGTCGTCAGCCAGTCATACCCAGCCCTGAAGTGTGGAACACCCGAGGCTCGAACCCGGCAGGGCAACGGGCTCGTGGCCCAGTGGTTCGAGGCTTGGACTTCTAAACCAACAGGTCGCGAGTTCGAGCCTCGGGTGTTCCACACTTCGGGGTTGGGTATGACTAGCTGACGACGGCTAAGAAGCCAGAAATGGCCATTCCAGTCTCCCGACAATTTAACTTCCTTTCCGTTTTTTGGCAGTCATAGAAGGGAGTCAAACTAGGACGCTTGTGACGGCCGAACTGTTGAATAGATAGGAAAATCGTGTAGTCATTACCGACAAAGACAAGGGAAAATGAGATGGCCATTTCTGGCTTACTAGTCGTCGTCAGCTAGTCATACCCAACCCCGAAGTGTGGCACACCCGAGGCTCGAACTCTCAACCTGGTAGTTAGAAGTCCAAGCCTCGAACCACTGGGCCATGAGCCCGTTGCCCTGCCGGGTTCAAGCCTCGGGTGTTTCACACTTCAGGGTTGGGTATGACTGGCTGACGACGGCTAATAAGCCAGAAGTGGCCATTCTAGTCTCCCTTGTCTTTGTCGGTAATGCCATTCTGCCTATATCATGCGCCCCTGTGTGGCTGCTGGTTGGGCTCGAGAGTGAGCCCGTAAAGCACAACGGAATGAATGAGTTCCGTAAGAGCGATCGCTGAACGCTCTCTACCAAATCGTGTAATTATTGAAAAGGTAATGATTGGGTGTAGGAGCCCCAAGTAGATGGCAACTCCAAAAATATACCCTAAAATTCAGTGTGACTGTAAACACATTTTCTTATTCTCCGTTCTCATTGTTTAAAATTTCATTCCTATCCTGACTAAGTGTAAACTTACCAGCGGCGCTTTATTCAGTGTTGGTAATCATTTAAAAATTGCTTTTTATCCATGTTTTTTAGCAGCGCGCTCACTTTCTTTGCAAAATGGCAGCGTACACTACGACTTTTGACAGAAATTTATCTAAGTTCACTGAATATTCCCATGCTACAACTGAAACGTCAATTTGGCAAACACGTGTTTTCGGTAACTCGTCATCAGGCCAAAACAGTTGCATAGAAGTTGAAATTACAGGGTTATATAAGTGGTTCAGGGGCTATTAACACTCATCGTTCCCAAGCCACTCGCATGGCGAGGCGTGCTATGGCGTGGTCGGCGTGTCGTGGTCATTGGGTCAAGGGGGCGAGGGGGAGGGGGGACATGGACTGTGAGTAATGTTTGTACGTCGGGTACGTTGTTCACACAACACTGCCATCAGGAGGTTGAGTCGGCGTTGACCACGGAAGACAGAGCGCCTGTGCCAGCGTCTTCTGACAATATTGCACCCGATTGGCTAGCTGTATAGCCACTGCCTCGGCTGTAGCTAGCACCCATTGGCGTAGGCCTCTGGAGAAGCTTGCTGGTGTCCGGTAGACAACCTGAAAGGCTTCTTTGGCATCGACTCGGTGATTCGTATCGACAAGATGTGCGAGAATAGAACTGGAGATCGGTTTCTTCTCACCTTTGCCTAGCCAGGCCAGTATATGCTTACGTACTCTCTTTTCCAGGCGCCTCGTTGTACGGCCAATGTATTCTGCTTCACAGGAGCAAGTGAATGAGTAAATACACATAGATGTGGCCTGTAACGGGAGCCGGTCTTTACCTCCCAAGCGTAGGAGGGGAGAGTTCGTGAAACATACACGTAAATTCGCTGCGGGGAAAGCGCTAGTGATCGCTGTCTTCAGACGTCTTCTTATTAGGTCGCTTGTTGCGTCCCCTTGAAAAGGCAGTCATATAAATAAGGCTTTCTTTTCTGAAGTTGCCATGGGGGGGCTTTACAGTGCGCTCCCCTATATTTCGGAGGATAAATCTTCTGGGTATCCGTTTTCGTGGAGTATATCCCGCAGCTGTTGGAATTCTGCCTCAACAGTCTCAGGAGAGCAGATATGTCGCACTCTAGCTGCCAATGCCTGGACCAAATTGCGTTTAATATTTAGGGGAACAATTTATCTATTTTCTGCGTCTTCTTGCTCTCTGTCCTGTGTGACATGCCACCCGTAAAACCCTCTCTACCACCATTCAACGTATGACACCGTCCATAGGCTAGCTCAAGTTAGTTGTGGGTCCCACACCCTATCGTTGCCAGTTACAATGACTGTTGAGAGTGGGCAGCAGAACGCCTTGAAGCTCGGTCATAACAGGACACATCTTAGCCATTAGACACGGTACGCGTCAGTGTTAAGGGTCCCCTTTCGCGTAGGCACTAACACCTTCCCCCCCCCTCCCCAGCCCGACTTTCTCTATGTGGTGCCGCGAGGACAGGCAGTTAGGGAGCACCTCCATCAGCCGAGTCCCCCCTAAGCAGGCTCGTATTTAATAGTAGTGAAAATCCTATTCCCAGGTGGCATATCAAAAGAAGAGTGGGCGTTCACCGGGAGGGATTTATTTGAGATCCGACGTTTCGGGTAGTTTACTCGTCTACCCATCTTCAGGGACTGGGAGGTCCTGTGCACAGCACTCCTTATTATGGCGCCCTTTGTCCAATGCGTGATCCGCCAATGCCGCCTGTGTGGCTGCATCCAACCCGCATGTCACCGTGACCTGAATCGCCCCCGTCGGCCGCGGTGATGACTGACGGCCCCGATTGTCCCGCGCCGTGACTGTCCCCCGTTAAGAAGGTTCGTAAAGTCAGTCATCACCGCGGCCGACGGGG